TGTTATGATGCATCGTTGGTCCGGCGTACGACGACGCCTGATGCGATTTATGCGTCCGGAAGCCCTTTCAGCCTCCCAGGCATGTCCCACCTGCCTCACAGCCACCGACGCATCTCACGGCGGGGGTCTAATTGCGTGCGCGTGAGGATGCTCCTATTCCTGCCGCCTTCTAACAACTAGTTAATGTTATGATGCATCGTTGGTCCGGCGTACGACGACGCCTGATGCGATTTATGCGTCCGGAAGCCCTTTCAGCCTCCCAGGCATGTCCCCACCTGCCTCACAGCCACCGACGCATCTCACGGCGGGGGTCTAATTGCGTGCGCGTGAGGATGCTCCTATTCCTGCCGCCTTTCTAACAACTAGTTAATGTTATGATGCATCGTTGGTCCGGCGTACGACGACGCCTGATGCGATTTATGCGTCCGGAAGCCCTTTCAGCCTCCCAGGCATGTCCCACCTGCCTCACAGCCACCGACGCATCTCACAGCGGAGGTCTAATTGCGTGCGCGTATGGATGCTCCTATTCCTGCCGCCTTTCTAACAACTAGAAATGTTATGATGTATCGTGGTCCGGCGTACGACGGCGCCTGATGCGATTTATGCGTCCGGAAGCCCTTTCAGCCTCCAAGGCATGTCCCCACCTGCCTCACAGCCACCGACGCATCTCACGGCGGGGGTCTAATTGCGTGCGCGTATGGATGCTCCTTTCCCCGCCGCCTTTCTAACAACTAGAAATGTTATGATGCATCGTTGGTCCGGCGTACGACGGCGCCTGGTGCGATTTTTGCGTCCGGAAGCCCTTTCAGCCTCCCAGGCATGTCCCCACCTGCCTCACAGCCACCGACGCATCTCACGGCGGGGTCTTATTGCGTGCGCGTGAGGCCGCATTAAGCTTGACGCAACGAGCCTTCATACGCTTGAAACGCAACATTTGTTTGCATGCGAATTGCGTTGCGATATGTGTGGGTTTGGTAAGTGTTAGGCTGCGTTAAGCTTTACGCAATGAGCCTTTATACGCATGAAACGCAGCATGTATTCGCATGCAAATAGCCTTGCGGACTGTGTGCGTTTGATGTGCGAGTGGACGCGAATTGCTTTACGCATTGTCTCCCCACACGCATGAATCGCATTATGGAATCGCATGCGTATCGCCTTGCTACACATGCGCGTATGCTTCGCGTTTCAACATACGCACGGATGAATTGTTCAAGTCGACCAAAACGACGCAAGTTTATTTCCAAAAAACCTTTACAATCTGAAATTTATAAATTTTTAAAAAACTTGGCCAGAAGGGCCGATTTCCGCTTTTCCATAGCCGTTGTGCGTTAGCTCTTTGCGTTACAAAAGCATGCTCATTCGCACCTAACGCTAAGATTCGCACCGTTACGCGAACTAACGCGAGCTAACGCGGACATAACGCGATCACCCGTCGTCATAGTGTTATCGACCGGCCACCGACGGAAGTACGGCAAAGTACATCAGATTAGGTGAAGGCCCTATGGCGAAGGCCAAACTACACCGACGAACGATAACGAATAGGCGAATGAGAGTAATGTAGCAGCTCATGCTCGTTACAGATGCAGTCATCCAGCGAAGCCCCCATCGCACGGGTGCTGCCGTCAGGCAACAATTCCTCCTTGCGCATGCGCATAAGCTCAGACCACTCATCGAACACTTTGGGAATGCCCAGTCCCAGGCGCGCCCACCTAGCTCATTCCGAGAGCGGAGAACGTCAGGGGGGACGTCTGGGCCATGCTGCAAGCCTCTGATCGCCTTGTCATTCTTTATACTGGATTCCCTTGACATTATTCATCAAAACTACGTAGCACAGCTCGAAGTCGCGGCTATAGCCCTTCAAAGTACAGCTTGACTGCAGATCTTGACTTGGTCCAACTAATACTTGACACTATCCAAACCCAAATCTAGTGCTATCTAGTACTATTTTTACTATATTATTTTACTATGTACGAACGCGGTACGAGCGTAAATATTATTTTACTATGTACGAACGCGGTACGAGCGTCGTAAACTAGTGCCAGTTTAGAGCCCTGCATAGTATGTAGTACTATTTCTAGTACTATTCTAGTATAGTACTCTTTTTTAGTATAGTACCCGTGCCAACCCTATTAATTATTAATTAATAATGTGTGTGTGTGTGTTACATGGTTGGGGGTGCGTGACCCCATACCTGTAAAACTACCCATACGCGCCGAAGGCCCAAGGGCAATATCTATACGCCTTAAAGCCACGGAGAACAGGAAACACCGCACATCAGCCCAGACTAGCGTCCAAAGGGGGTAACTGAGTTTCGGCGAGCCCACATACGTTCCAACATCCTCGCCAGACGCACTGGTTCCCATTTCATGGCCTCCAACATTGAAGCCTTGTTGATGATCGAATCCCTCCTCAGCACGAATATCATTATAGGCTGGGCATTCCAATAACACGTGCTTTTCATCCTCGATTCGGCTATTAACCACAACAGCGGCAAAATCGCTGCCCCCTGGGGACGTGGTACTTGCCCCTTCATGCTCTGTTTGCCTCCAAAGCCCAGCAACATAAACGAAACTGCATTAGCTTGCGATGTGCTAAACGAGGAATGAAAACCTTAGCATGTGTTGGCCACATGACGGCTGCGGCTCCCGAAAAGGGCAGCCCCATCCAGTGCTTATACTTCGCCATTTGCATTCCCGGTTGCTTCCCATCTGATGGGTACTCCTCTGGCAAGACAGTCAGACGCGTATCGTCCCAGCCGCTCATCAATTGTCTATAGATCTCGGGCCCTCCGATTGTTCCTGTTAAACATACTTGTTACTAAGGCACGGCAGGAGAGAAACGACTAGAACATCTACATTAGGTTCTTAACGGCGGTAGCGTGTCGGCTTGTCTGTTAATTCGTTGATCCCGTTAATGATACCAACCACCAAAACATCGTACAATTATTACTGTTATACCTGTTTATTCCGGTAGTCCGGCATCCTGGCTTAAACCATCAGCGCTCTGTTTTGCTTTCACTTTCCCTCGGCCCAATACATACAGTCCCGCTGGGGCTCAGGTTGCGACACATCGGACGGATACCTAACCAAAGGGCGGGCACGATGGCGGCCGGCTGTGTGTGGCTAACAGAGGTCGGCAGCAGGAGTGGCGCGTCCTGCGGGTCGTACCACGTTGTACCACATTGTACCGCGTCGTACCACATTACGACGGGAGCCTATATATATGTATATGCATGCTGCGGCTGGGGGTCCCGAAATGACAGGAAAACATCCGAAAACAGTATTTCCTACCAGCGGGCAAAACATTTTTGGAATGACAGAAATTAACGCTGAGCCTCAATGCAGCTGAAGAAATCCGTTTGCCGGCCTCAGGTGACCAACGGGCGCCTATCTGCCACTGCGCGGCGCTGCGATTTTCTCGTCGTACACAGCGGGCGCTCATGAGCTGATCAGCCAAATCTGAGGGCGAATTTCTGTCTTCGGAGTGAATGTTTGGTGGACGCAGCCACGTGCTCGATTGCTTTTTTTAAATAGGGAATTTTTGTAATAACACAAGCACAGCATACCCAACACGACCGGCAGCCATGCCGCCTAACAAACCTTTGCCACGGGCCTTAACACGGTGGATGCGTTGCATACATGATGCGCGTACGTTTACACACACACACAGCACTATTCGTATACATCATTGCAGATCTTGGACACGACGCGAGCATGTAGGGGTGGCTCACTTACTTATTATTACATGCCGTACCTACACTGCCAAACAAAGCACCAACTAGGGAAAAGGTTTCCTTATAACCTGAACAAACAAGCTACTGCCCGCCTGCTGGTCATTATTGGCCAATATGTGCGTCATATCGTATTTCCTATTTTTATTTTATTGTATATCCATCGCGCCATACTCTACACGCAAACATCTTTCGCTCGCATCCATGTGCCGTACTTCCGTACTTCTCGTCCAAACTGTATATACCCGATCCTGATGAGCCGTCCGCAACAATATCACAGATCGCAACTTATTTATGGCTCGCATGCAGGCAATCCTTCGCCGCCAGCTGGGTGTACGTCCTCCTTAACCGGACTGTGACTGCTGGCTTCCGACGGAAGGGACGTTTCCTCGAAGGCTCATCTGTTTTATTGTTGAAACAGATCCACCTGATTGGTTCCTTAAATCCTAAAAATAAGCTAATTAAGGTACAACATAAGTGATGTAATGACACCTACACGTTATGTACATCCTTCCAATGGTTGGTCGCATCGAAGATGCATGTGTAGCAAATGGTGGACGCCAGCAGCAGCAGTGCCAGCAGCAGCAGTGCCAGCAGCAGCAGTGCCAGCAGCAGCAGCAGCAGCCCCAATCACGGCCACAACCGCAATCGCGCTACAAACCCACCATGCGACAGGAATTCACCAGTATTTATTTATTTATTTATGTATTTATTTATATGTATGTAAATGTGTGCGTCCCTTGTACACACATCCCGTGTACGTGCGCGCAAACATTGAAAACCCCTGAGGAGAGCCTCCTCCGCTAGCTTCTGCCTCTACGCCGCCTGACTGTCTGCGCGATCAGGCCGTTCTAACGAGATAGATGCTGTTTTCAGGCTCTGCTGCTGTGACGCCGCTTCGAGTGGATAGATAACTGTCCCTACCAGTCGCTGCGCATCGCGATGTACTTACTATTATTTATTAGACATCAGCTCTTAAATAAAGCCTTCAGCAAAGCAGATTCTACCGTAACCTATCTAATAAAAACAGATAGACACTGTTGCATCACGACTTTAGAAAAGTACCGATCGGCGGATGTCAGCAACAGGCGCCCACCAAAACAATAAAGGCCTGCTTAGGAAGCCTCGCTCAGACACAGCAGTAGCAGCAACAGCAGCAGCAACCGCAGCAACAGCAGCAGCAGCGGTTGCCTTTTTGCTACGGCGGCATCATCGCATGCCGCAACGCGTAGCAGTGGTCGCCGCGGCTGCCTGCCTTACTGGCTGTGCCTTACTGGGAGGACCTCCTCTCCCACACCGCCCAATCGGTTCCAGATTGCGCCAACACCCAGCCCTCATCTTTCCGGGGCAGCAAGGAGCCCATGTCGAACCGAGGCCCCATTTTTAGGACCAAACTGCCCGACCTGCGGGGTCCGCGGGTGGCGGAGTGAGGAGGCAGAACGATGGTGCTTACCCCACCGAAGTGTGGCGGATGAAGGGAGAAAAAGTGATGATAACAATAAAGAACCCCCGGAGGAGCCCAGCCGGGTAACATTGAAGGCGGTAATGATATTATAATGTGGCTGGCCGTGAAGATGATACATATCAACAGGGGAGGAGGATGAGGAGCAGAAGATTGAGGAGTAATCTTAGATTATTTTAGTGAGAGCTTGCTAATGAGCTAATCAGTCCTTCATCGAGTTGCTATTTGGAGAGCTTGAAGGTCGGGGGCTGCTGAAGGGCGGTGCGGGTGGTTTCGGGGCCGGAGCGTGGTGAGCTAAGGGGGGCCTGCTTGCAATGGGGGGGGGTCATAGTGTAGCAGACGGTGATGACCGGCAAGTTCTCCTCTCTCCCATCCCCGATACCCTGAATACTCCCAGGCCCATTACACTCGTCATTTCATCACACGCCACAGCAAAAATGTCATGTCATATAGGTCATATCATCAAGGTCTTCTTCTTGCGCGGAGGTGTACACACCCACTGTATGAAGGCCTTGGTGATGTTCTCAGGGTTGTTTCCGGGCGGAACGTTTTACGATGACGCCCTTGGCGGTTCCGGCGAGCATCGTTTCGTCAGCCGGGCGGATTTCCCCTTGCGTGAATTTCAAGGCCCCACAGCCACCTTACCTCCCGTCCACTCGAGCCACGTACAAGTCCTTCTCTGCAGCCAGAATAGTCAACGGGCTGTCCGCCTCCAGGGCGCACCGCCGCCTCAGCGCCGCCAGACCCGCAATGTCCCGTCTCAGAGCCTCACCCCAACCGAACAAATGGTCCCAGAACAGGCAGGGGATGCCTGACGGCGTGGTGTGAGAGGGCACAGGGAGGGAGGGGCAGGGAGGAAGGGAGGGAGAGAGAGGGAGAAAAGGGGGGAGAGAGAGGGGGGAAGGGAAGGATGATACATGATTCATGTGTACAGTCTTCTCCTCCACTCAAACACACACAGGGCCCCCCCGCAAGCAGTGCATCCCTTACTCCCAACACCTGTGACCGGGATGCACCCGTGCTCCTCCGCCATACCTTAGCACACAAACGGCACCCTGAGTCGTCTCCCGCTCCTGCCAACGGATATACATACATACGGACATATACTCGTACACATCAGCACATCTTCCTGATGCAGCCCCCCAAAACACACGGCGCATCCCACTCACATACCGCACCCATACACCGTGCCAATATCCGTGGGCACCCCGGACACAGAGACACAAACAGACAATAGACATACAGACATACAGACACACATAGACAAGAAACACACACATACATACACAGGAACCTACCCGGGTGGGTGAGAATGTACGCGTAACCCTGCGCCACATGTTGTGGTGGGAAGGGCCAGTGTTGCTGAGTGCTGCCCGTGTCGTGGTTCTCAACAAAGGTCACCGCCTTGCCTGGCCACCAGCCCAGTAGTCCAGGGGCTTTACCCTGCGGGGGAAGAAGGATGTGACACAAGGCTTTAGGTGTCCAAGGTGGTTTCAGTTTCTTAGCCAGGCCAGGCCAGGTAAAAGCACCTAGCACAGCTGCACTGCGAATAACCCAACCACCCAACGAGTTAGTACCACACACCACCCAGCTAACCCAACGAGTTATTACACAGCCGCCAACCTTAGAGTCACGCAATCTGTCGTACTGGCACTTCTTGACCGCCTCCTGAAGCTGGCCCTTAGTAGGGAAGTCGAATGCGCAACTCCTGAGGTGCAGACAGAGGTGCAGGCAGAGGTGCAGGTAGAGGTGCAGGCAGAGGTGGGGCAGGCGGGTGGAGGAGGCCGCGGAAGATAATAGAGGCGAGGGAGCAGCAGAGAGAAGGAGCGGACCAGCGGAAAAGGGGTAGAAGAGCAAACAAATCAACACAAGTAGCTGGAAATCACTAGGATCAATCCTAAGGTATTGTGACACATACATACATACATACATAATACATAATAATAAATATAATAATAATAATAAATAATAATAATAAATATAATAATAATAATGCTGTGTTTCGGCTTCGGCCCCCAGCTCTCGCAGCCCACAGCGTAATCTAAGTCATACATAATACATACATAATACATACATAATACATACATAATACATACATAATACATGCATACACGAGAATGTCGGAGATATCCAGGAAAACATAAAGCACGGGCACACCTGGGACCCGGAACCAGTATAGACGGACATAGGTACAACTAAATGATTAGCATATTACCCGACAGCGTTGAAGTTACGCTGAATATAATCAAGTTTCCTATATTTTCAACCTTTTAATTTCTAGCCATATTCTACTTATATTTTTAGTTACGTAAAGTGTTAATTCTACTAAAAAAAGATTATTTGGGAATTTTAACCTGTTACACATACAATTCGCAACATCATTACAGTTTTGACCATCTATGCGGCAAAGAGACTTGCGCAAACCTTTTCTGGCAATGGCCGGTACAATGCTGTACAATGGCAGATCGGTACTTCGACCCGCGGGGCTTTATGCTATCCGCCTTTTGTAACACAGCAAAGGCGTAACCCGGGATGCTCAGATTGGCATTTGCGTCGTTACATTGCCCCCCACTTAGCAATGGACGTCCTCGGCCATTATTTCGAGCACAGGAGCCATCCCACCTCGCGCCAGTGCGCTGGTTTATCCATTACACCATGAAATCGCCAATTTGCGACTTGCTGGTTGCCAGAATCGAACCGCCGACCCGAAGTTTATGTCGGAATTCGTGCGGTCCCGTCTCGATACCATTGTAACACAGCAAAGGCGTAACCCGGGATGCTCAGATTGGCATTTGCGTCGTTACACCTTTGCATGGTGTTTCACAATACCTAGTACCTAGTACGACAGATCATGGTTAAGATTTTGCCACATAAACGCTTTATTTTACTATTTACATTTTTTAAAGCATACACAATAGCACCTGCCGCGTGATGATGTGTTCGTTTGTCTGGTTTTGTCCTGCTGGCGATCGCGACTCATCCTGCTTTATCCGCTACCGGCGCAGCCACTCGCAACACTACATAGCACACGCCATCTCGCACCTCTCCCCATTCGCCCGGATCCAGTTACACAGACGCTGCCGAGCGCCATCTTGATTGTAATCCAAGTGGGGCCCACTCCAGGAGAGATCCACCCAAAACTCGCCAACGTTGAGGTGGTCCTTTCCCGTTGTTGCGTCGACATATTCGGTAACAAACTGAGCGCCGTACCTGCATAGATACATACATACAGATGCGTAAATGTATACGGATTGGTGGGTGTGCGGATTTGCTCATTGACAAATAAGGCGCCGGACGGGTGCTGACGCGTGATTTGGCGAGGTTTTTGTAGGGGTGCGAAGTGAAAGGCGATGAAATGCGATACAGCGGCCGTATTTCGCAGCGACAAACTAAAGAAAAGGATTCCTTGACCGATGGCATTGCGAAGTATGTGTATATATTTATGTCATATATAGACATATATATGTCTGCATATTTATGTCATATATATGTCTGCATATTTATGTCATATATAGACATATATAGACATATATATAGACATATATATGTCTGCATATATGTAAATTCCATAATGATAAGGAGATACCGCCAGGGCCTGGAGCCCCTGTATGCAACACGGCTCGGACAGCACCAGGCAACCAGAGACCTCCTGCCCAGTAGCACTTGTAAGGGAATACCTTAATAAGCATGGCCTATATAAATACTATCTGGTCAGGCTAAAAAGGAACGACAAACAAAAGAGCCCGAATGCTCAAGCGTTTTTTAAAACCCTTCCCTCCATAAACGCCTTCGCCGCCATACCCTCGAGCAAAATCCAGCCTCCAGCCCCGAAACCCAATGTCCCTCTGCAGCCACGTCAGCCAGTCCTTCAGGGCGGCTCGCAGCTCCGGGTTAGCGTGGTCCAGATCGGGGGCAGGGCCGTAATCGTCACCTGGGCGGTCAAGAGGAGTCGGGGGGTCATGAAGTGTATACGGAGGGAGAACCCCCTCTTCTTCCTCCTCCTCTATCATTTTCCTCTTCGGAGCAGGAAGAGGGCAAAGAGAAGAGGAAGGACGAAGAAGGGACTTTGTAACTTACTCGACCGCGAGCGGCGAGAGGAGGGGGCGGGAGGGCAAATGTGAAGGTTCAGGCGGAGGAGGAGGGAGAGGGAGAGGGAGAGGGAGAGGGAGGAGGGAGGAAGTGGGGTGGGGGGGGATTTGGCGGGGGACAGGGGGCCAGCTCCCCAACTTGGCTGGGGAAATTGCGCGTCGTGTGTGTGCGTACATCCCCGTCAGCTTTAACCCCCAACTCCAATTCTAAGTCCAACTCAAGTCCCCGTCCAGTTCCCCCTCACCGGTGTCGGGATTTCCGGATCCCTGGAAGGCGGGATCGTTGCACGTAATGGCCCACTTGCCCCAGTCGATACGCCGACCCTGCACACACCCGCGGGGGGGGGGGGAAAAGGGGGAAGGAGAGTGAAATTTGTGTTTGCTAGGGGAGGAGATACCAGACAGACAGACAGACAGACAGACAGACGCAACGACAGATAGAGACTGAGATAAGAGATACGAGATACCAGACGATACACGTGGTGAGGCAGGGAGGTACACCACAGGAGCACACGCAGCGCAGCCGGGCACAGCGGGTCGAGCTTCAGGCCTGAAAAGCCCAGTCAGTGAGCTCAGCTCAGGCATTGAGGGAAAGGAGACACGCTCACGCCGTGTGCCGTGTCGCTGCCATAGTCACTGCATGCAGTTGCTCCGGAATGGTGTATTGGGTAACTGCTGAGGTGGAGGTGGAGGTGGAGGTGGAGGTGGAGGTGGAGGTGGAGGTGGAGGTGGAGGTGGAGGTGGAGGTGGAGGTGGAGGTGGAGGTGGAGGTGGAGGTGGAGGTGGAGGTGGAGGTGGAGGTGGAGGTGGAGGTGGTGCGGCTTCGTCCAAGCTTCAACATCCCTTCAACCTAAACCCCCCAACCTCCAACCCACTACAACAGTCACTAAGCTGATACACGCGTCCCCTCACCCTCTTCCCTGAGGCCCTCAACCACGGGCATAGGACCGTAAGTAATCGACTCTCCACCAATTCACACAATCTGTACATACAGTCATGTACGGTCATCCATGTCGTACCTTGTGGTCCACGTCATCACGAAACCTGTTGTACACACCGCCGTCCATCTCATCTGCGCAGCTGCCAGGACAACGCGAGTTCAGTGTTGACAGCGCGCAAGGCGGGGGAGGAGGGGGAAAGAGGGGCTGCAGGTGTAAAATTATCGCAAAGGTAATTATCTTATGTGTATTCTACGGACGGAGGCTGGTGCTAAGAGTGTGAAAGCGGTCGCTACTATCTGAAATTCGTTCGTTTTGATTGCCTCAGATTCGCCCCTTCTGCGTCATTGCCTGTTTTGGCCACGCGGACATTAGCTGGCTGCTGTGGATGCAAAACACACAGAGGACCCTAGATGTATATTCTTACCGGTGGTTAATGACAACATCGGCGATAGGATGAATACCTGCCAGCTGCAGCGCCTGATTAAGCTTCATCAACTGCTCTCGGTTGCCGTACTTGCTCGTCAAGTTGTACAGCTGGCCGGGCATGTAGCCCTGTGGGGACGACAGAGCATACACAGGTCTCATCGAAAGCATGCACGCAAACACAAATCCACGTTTACAATACACACATCCGTCATCACTTTGTAATAATGTATACGCATTTTCGTGATGCCACACACGATCATACGGTACCGCCAACACACAACCCCGTAACGGAGGGGCTAGGGGTCGTGGTCATCATCGGCTGTGTGGGCCACACACTCTGCCCTCTGCCCTCCTGCAGTGCTGTCCGCTGTTTTGAGGAGCAGGAGGGTGTAAGTGGGGTGTCTGGTTCGTGGGAAAGAGACAATCACACAAAACGTGCCGTTTTGCCTACAAACCGTAAGACTAATGTCGTACCACAACCTTACCTGAGGAGAAACGCTCTGGGAAGGGGGAGGCAGCCAGACATGTGATATCCCCAACGCCTGATTTGTTTAGAGATTTGGGGGTGGTGTCGTGAAGAGCGAGAGTTTTTAACACGTGTAATGTTTACAAACGGGTTGAGAAAAAGAAGATCAGGATGGGAAAGAGAGGGGGTGTACGACGGCGGCTGAAGGGGAGTTTTCGGAGATTTTGCCATTGTAAAGGATGTTGGTTCAAGGTGTGTGGTGTGGTTCAAGGGAATGGGGAAAGAGGGGTCCATGGTGGAACTGGTGGGGTGGGGAGAATGTGGGGACCGGAGGAGGACGAGACCAACAGGAAATCTTTTTGAGGATCAAGGTAAACAAAACAATGGGATATTGAGGCAGCGTTTGATAAACAATTGAAGTCGCGCGTGAGGTTTCTTGGGCAGAAATCCTACGCCCGTCGCTGACCAAACCTTTGAGGGACAGGATGTCGGTCAAACTTCGCATCCCCCACGCACCTTTAAGTCCTGCACCTTGCTCATTACTGTCCCGTACCAATTATGCTGAAAGCAAGAGTCCCACGCGAACGCTGTCACACACGATGGAAGCAGGGGTCGTTTAGAGGAGCGCGAAGTGCAAGGGACAGGGTGCGACATGAAACGGGCGGAATCTGCGGACCTTGAAGCATAAGTGCGCCATTATAGCCCTTAGGATGATATGTGGTTCCGTCAGAACAGTCTGGAGCTACGCGCGCGACGTCGCTGTCGACGGATTGCAGAGTTGTAGCAGCAATTGAGGAGCGAGGCCTGTACTGCGTTGTTCTGATCGCCTTTGCATTGCAGCTGCGACTTAAGCACGAGCAAGACGATGCCGTTTGTCGAGACGTTGAGAACCGCATTTGTAGAAAGCAAGCCACGAATCGTTATCTTAGGCCGGAAGGTTAAATATGCGCATCAAAGGCTCCTGTCAACAAGAATTGATAGTAGTTTAGATGACTTAATGGTCCAGATATTATAATCGCACTGTAAAGTTGCATCCGTTGTCATGCTTGCAGACGTGGACGTTTCAGTACGAAACCAATTATATAGCGAGAAGGGAAACGTAAAACACGGGAAGGCTTGATTGTCCTGAGCAGCATTTTTCTGTATGCTTGTAAAAAACGAACTAATGAAGTAGCCGGAAACGCAGGAGCTGAGAAGAGCTATGTAGTGATGTCTGCTCCCTATCCTGTCCGCACATGTAGATTTATTATATCAGCAAGATTTTTACCTTCAGTTTTTGCAAAATATACTGGCGACAGTGTACCTCCTACACGCCCGGCACAACATCCCTTTCCGACAACCGACAATTTCGCAGCTTCCAGACCTGCTGCCTCGCATCGGCCTTAACCATATAGATGAAATGTTCCAAAGAAGTTATGTTCGCCCTCCGTCCCGTGGCGAGAAAAGTCTGAAAGCCCTCAGGCGTCCTTATGGCCACTTTGACCACACACGTACGTTACGAAACATAGGAGTTCTAGGTAAAGAACCAGCCACATGCAATTTTTTGCCCCCGTAGTGCTTAAACACGCCAGTTGGGTGCTTAGTTACGCCTCTTGTCACAGTACGCCCGTGCGCAAGTTATAACGGATGAACATCCGATCCTTCATGTTTTTTGTTTACCAAGATCTCAGCGGATTATATAAAGGTACTTTATACAGTTCAATCCGCCGCTTTTAAGCACATACGTAGTTGGCGTAATGAATTGCAGCAGCAACAGCTACTACTACTGCTGCTGCTGCTACTACTCCTGATTCACCCGACATCGTTCATTTAAGTGATACGAGCCACGTGTTGTGTGTCCCGTATGTACATGTGTGTATATATGTCACGCGATTGTGGGCGCGCCACCCCCTAGGTCAGGGGGGGAAGCTCATCACGTAAATAACTCCAGCACCAGAATCGCCCCCCAACATAAACATGTAATAACCAGGACATCTGTCATCGTACATCGGCCACGCATGTACCACGTCATAAAGACGGCTCAATAATGTTGTACACGGGTGATGTGTACGACAGTTACTATGTTCGTAACCTCCGTGCAAAGAGAGACCGAAGGCGAGAGTATCTTCCCACCAATAGCTCTTTTCCCGTGTGGTTGCCTGGCCCACCAGCCCGCTGGCTAGCCTTACACATAGAATGTAACCATGCTGAACCACGGATTCCGGCCAAACGTGGTTCATAACTAGCGCAGATGCCATCCTAATGGCATCCTAATGGCTAAAATGTTCAACGATTGCTACTAATCGAATGCTACAGCCCGTGCTCTGCTGAGCTGGTCGTACTAACCAGGCCTGTCACGCACGCTAATCATGCTAGTCAATGGCGCTAATCATGTCAACGGTACATAGCAGTAGCCGTAAAAAAACGGCCAATCCTGTATAGATAGATGCGTCAGGATGATGCCGTTAAACAACAACAACGGACCATCATCAAAACACCGAAAAACAGGAGTGCTGAAATCACGTGTACGGCAGCCTCTGTACGACAACAAGCGCTACTCGTAACCTTTGGGCCCCGGACGGACCCCCACTACTACTATCACCCTTCTCCCCTTACACCCCTCTTACATACACGTACACGTACACACCTCTCCGCACACCAATACACTGCTAGGGGTGCTAATTAGGCTCCTCGGTCCTATAAAGGAAAGCGAGAGAGAGCGGACTTTTGGCTAAGTGCTTTATAGCATTTTTGTTTCTCACTCATCCATTCTGGTGAGGACAGAGCAGCGGGTAGGTGAGTAAGGAGGTAGGTTATCAAGCCGGACGTGCCGCCACATAGCCCTTCCAGCACCCCCCACCGAAATTGCGAAACCAAGACATGAAATTAATTTGAACAGCAAAAAGTCATTAGGGTTGTGTTAAGCAGTTTTGTTTCGTTGATTCCGCCCGCTCATGACACACACCCCAGGATGCCACAAAGGCCATTTTCTCCCCACCCACCCACACACACAAGGGACCTTCCCAAGCCGTATTTCCTCTCCGAAACCGCGGCGCTTGCGCGGTACGACAGCCCGGCCCTCAACCTCAACCTCAACCTCTGTCCCGGCACACCATCCTCTCGTCCTTTTCTCCTTCCTCCTCCCCTTCTCCTCCTCCCCATCCTCTTCTTCCCCCTCCTCGCTCTCCCGCCTCTACTCCGCGATTTCCCGCCGTTAACTGGGCCAGAATGGCGGGGCCCCCCCAAAACCGGGGTCAAGAGGCCAAACACCCTGCGTACGTCTGTGTGTGTGTGAGTCTGTTCGTACCAATATGTTTGCACATATCTAATGTTTGTCGGGATGCATGTCCGTATGTGTGTATTTCCGTACGTATGTACGTATGTGGACCCTGAAGCCGCGCAGACAACGAATGCAGGAACGAACACCACGCCACAGCTCCCAGCCAACACCTCGACCGCACGGCAGACACCGGCTGCCGAACATTTAGGATCTCCTTATCGTCATTCCAATTC